CTTTTCTTCTTGACAACTAATAAGCTCTAATCATTTTATTTCGTTAAAATTAGAATTTTTGAAGTACTAGAAAAGAAAAAACATAACTGTCATAGTTTTAGTTAGAATTGAAGATACCAGATTACATCTCCGAAGGTGATATCGAATTTCCCTTTGAAGATATTGATGATATCGGTGATGAGAATAAAATTCGTGGTAATTGGTCCTCGAGAATGGATTACCTCCTCTCTGCTGTTGGTTTTATATTTAATTTGGGAAATTTATGGAGGTATATTTTTTTCTTTCTGTTTCATTCAATATTTATCATTGATGATTCGCCCTCAACACATCAAATAAGGCGAACACGTCAATTTATCACGATTCAAAATTCAGCTGAACACGCTACAATGATTCACAACTTTTGCTACTGAATAAACAGTTTGTTATTTTGTTGAACCAATAACTAATTGAGTTGAAAATATTTGCTACAACAAAAAGGAATGATAATTAATCAGTCCAATAATTACATGCTAAAATACAAATGCATGAGCTAATTCCGATAACTCAATATTGTACAGTATTATGAAGTGTTAATTAAAAACAAAATGAGGATAAGCTATATAGGTCGGTTATATTTACATCTTTCAAATAGTTGGGAGAGAGTTTTTTCTTCTTTTATTGCTGGGAATGAAATAAACTGCTAAGGAAGAGAAGGAAATTGTTGAACGAATTTACTAATTTCAGAGAAAAAACAAAAAGTCTAGTAGAAAACACCGATTAGTATAGCGAGAACGGAAAATCAACGACGAAAAAGAACACTAGTCAATCGATTAATAAATTAGAAAAATGAATCATTACATGAAAAGGGAGAAATTACTGATGATAAAGTTGATGAAAAGAGTAAATTAGTTATAACTAATTTTATACAACAATTAGTAAGTTATAGTTGTAAGTACATTAATTCTAAATTACAATAACGACTGAAATATGAAACAAAGAAAAGGAAGATTGATAGATTACTTAGCAGTATTGAATTAGGTATCATATAAGCAAATTATACCGAAGCAAAAAAAAAGAAAATCATTGATTGGCGGCCAGTTACTAATCATGTCACTATGAGTATCGATTTTCTTACAGTGAATATCGGTTATGTCACTATGGGTGTCGGTTTTGTTGCAATGAGTATTAGTTATATCACTGGAAAGAAACCAGTAGGTGTCGCTTATGTCACTATGAGATTGGTCTTGCCACCACGAGTACCGATTTTGTCACTGTGATGTGCCTATTCTTGCTTGTTGACCATCATTTTTTTTTATAGCTGGGACAAAATCGTGTGGATTTTAACTGTTGGTACAATTAAATTGCTATAGCAACACAGAAATGAATCACCTTCATTGTAACATTAAATAATGATGGTAATATAACTGGAATAAAAAATTAAATGATTAAATAATTTGAACTTTCCCTGTAGTCAAAACAAAAAATGTTAGGAAATTTGAGAAAAATATCTTGAAAGGTTATCAAAATGATTGATATTGTATTATCAGAAGATCTAAAAAGAAATTGACGTGAAATTGGAAAGAATGTCGGAAAACCGAAAGAATTTATCATACATTAAATGCTTAAAATATTTCTAATGGTTCATCACTGCATTCATTCACCAATTTACATTCTTTAAAATTATCTCCCATACGTTTCTTTTGTTATCTTTGTCTAACGAAAATTCACATCTTCATTTTAATGACAAAGGATGTCCAATTTACATGCTAACCTTCCCATCTCATCTTGTTACAACGCTTATTATGTAATTGGATCTTTACAGTTTCCTTTGTATCTAAATGCTTTTTTAACGTTTTATGTAAACCACTCCTACTTCTTTATAGACCCTTTTGGAAACAAAGAAAAAGGCTTCTTGGGCTGGTGCTCTTCTATAGTGCTTTACTTAGATTGCATTTGACTCACGGTCGAGCGATTTCCTACTCGTTACTCTTCAATAATCCCACTGATCAGCTCTATTATATCAATAAAGCAGTAATTTTTACTCTGTGTCCTCACAACGTATATTCGACGTCCTCACAAAGTAAGCCTTTAATTAAATTTCTGCTTGATTCTAACTCAAGGCTAAATTTGAATGTAAACGACTCGATAAAAAATTTTTTCACAACAAAGAATGGTAACTAATGATGGTATGATAAAAATGATAATATTAACAGCAGTAAAAGATAACCTTGGAAGAATATATGGATATTGATTATATTAATGGAGTTTACTTAAAATTGAAATCATGGAATCTCAAGCGATTTTTGATGTTAGTGTCTAAAAAAAAAGAAAAAGAAATTGTTGGCTGTATAAATAGTGCATCATTCGAAATCTATTTCAATAACGAGCATATAAATTAATAAATTACAAGGAGCAATAATTTCTGAAACCATGATAAGTAACAGATAAAAATGCAGCGAAATATTAGCTTATATTTGCGCATATTTTTATTTTATATTTACAAGATATTTGCGAATAATTATCAGTATTTAAATAACAGTGCTTGGTAATTATCAGTATTTGAGTATTTAAGAGTAATATGTTTCGTCCTCACATTGTAATAAGTAGTAATAGATAACTTAATGAATTTTAACCGGATTATTAAAGCAATTAATTAATATAACATATTGTGAAATCTGTCGTAATGAATAAAAATTGATAAAATTCATTATGTTTATAAAATATAAAATATCCCATGGCATATATAAATTTCGTAATGCATAATTTCTCGCTCATAATGATATCATTCTCAATGGAATTAAGCAATGTAAGAAAAAATTTGAAGTTTAGTAAATGCTATAAATTTAAAATGATATATGAATATGAGAACATAAGCATACACTCACTTTTTCTATTCTATTTTTAGATTTTCACTCAAATTTTTCATTATAAATTATTTCATTTTTTTCATTATTTTTTTAATTATTTCATTATTTCATTATTTCATCAATTATCATTTCATTTTTTTTATCAAGAATACATTGTATTTAGCAAAGTTTAAATATATTTTGAATATAGTTGACTACAAAATTTGAATATACAATTAACGATGAAATTTTAAATCTTTAGCTTCTAATAATTGCAAGCTTAAAAATTTGCATCTTACATTTGAATTTATTAATTGGAGTTAAATCACAATTAATTAATTAATTTTATTGCGTGAAAAACTATTCAAAATTTCATTCCACCCTAAACATATCATATTTATTATCTTCTTTAAGTTGCCTTTTTCATCAATCGCATATCGATATAACATATCCTTTTTTCATGTAATATTTAAGAAGTGCATTCAGGCAAAATGAAAGCGATCGATAGCCATGATACTTCCTCATTCATATGTTGTCCCTTAAAAATCATTACGATTACATTACAACATGCCTGAATTGTGCATCTATGAGCATCATCAATGTTTGCTTTATTTTTCAAAATCCATTATTTGGCGGAAGTACGGAATACATGCACACACACACACACACACACACACACACACATACACACACACATACACACATACACAACACACATACACACACATACACAAGCTCACATACAACATACGCAAACACATACATGCAGACACATGCATACACATACACAGATACACACATACATGCACACATATAAGCCACACGCGCAACACAAACACACACGCGCATACACATATACACACACATATATATGTACACACACATACACATCACACATGCACACATACATGCGCATACACACACGCATGCAACATACACGTATATAGACGCACACACGCACACACAACACATACACACAAACGTGCTTACATACATAAATACAACATACATGTACACACCCATACACACTCATGTATGTACACACGCACATACAGACATACATGTGCACGCATATATATATATATATATGTATATATATATATATATATATGTGCACGCACATATATATATATATATATATATATATATATATATA